ACTGCCACTGGTGTGGGCAGTCAGCGTCTCCAGGCTCCTGACTCTAGGCCCGGGCTACCCCCCGCTGTCACTCTGCCTGTTGGATAATTAATGTCCTCCAATGCTTCTTTGTCACACAGCTTAGGTGGGGAAAGTTAGTATAGATGTGCCCTGCAGGGAAATATTTTTCTGGATCTTGTTTTAGCTATATAGGGGAATTTATTATTTAGGAGAGTCTTGCAGTGAAACTTTCACATGGGGAAGAAGCATTCTCTAAATTACCTGCCAACTTAATTTATTTTCTACTGTATTTGTTAAGTCTAGCATCAGGTTTTCTGATGACCAACAGACCTGGTCATTTCTCTCATATATATGCATAAAAGATGAAGTTAAACAGACCTGCTGTTCCTATTCTCCTCCGTCACGTGCGAGCTCTTGTGACCTTGGGTCTCTGATTTTTGATCTCATATAAAATAGGCTTAACACTACCTGCTCTGTCAATATCCTCAGCAACGTTGGGAAGATCAAGCAGGAAAATGTATGTGAAAGTAGTTTGTAATAGCGATTAAAACAACAAGAGTAATAGCTAACATTCCGAATGTGTCGGGCACAGCTTTATATGAATTAACTCATTTCATTCTTGTAACGCTAAGATACAGATTCTGCTGTTGTCCCCAGTTTTTTGACAGGAAACCAAGGAATAGAAGTTAAGTAACTTGCACAAGTCACAAAGCTAGTAAGTAAAGAAGTTGGAATAAGCTGCCACGTACTAACTGGGCACAGTAAGACTATATCAAAGCTGATAGAGACTGCAAGAGATAACACAGCATGAATATGTGATATCACAGGAAAATGAAACAGTTGCCATTTTAAAGATGGAGCAACTCAGATCCAGCAGGGTTTCATGATTTGCCCAATGTCAAGTATTCCAGTTTTAGAATATCCACAATTTATGGATAGAATAAGTAATAATACGTTTATTAGTATTCTAATTAGTATTCTAAAATATTCTATTTTTAAATTGTGGGAAGTAGAGCAAAGCTGTTAGGAACCTGGGTGCTGGATTCAATGGCCACGTTTTAAATTCCAGCACTACCATTTAACCAACTATTTTACTGGAAAATTAAAAATTAAATATACACAGACAATTGTAAGAATAAATGCCTAAAAGATGTTAGCTACTATTACTATCACTGTCCTAATTCCTGTTGCCAGTTCCCAAATCACATCAAGAGTTCTAGACAAAATTGTGTAGTTCTCTTTGAAAGTGCTAATGGAGTAATCACAGCATCAGGATTTGGAGAGGAGTAGGAAAGGAGAGTCTCAAGTGTGAACTTTTCTTTCTTTTTTGATAATTCTATAAAGTGAAAAAACCCTATAACCAAGAATCAAATTTTCAGAAATAGACTTTCATTCCAGTTCCTTCCACTCTCTGCACAGTGGTACTGATTAACATCCAAAAACATGTTAGAAATAGGAGAGAGAAGGCAAGAATAATCTATCTACTAAAGAAGCAGTGCCATTAAAAAGGAAGAAAGCATCACCCCAGTGGGCCACCTCTGCACCAGGCGCTCACAGGCCTTTGGTTATAAAGAGCATGGCTTGATTCCAAATCAGACAGACCTGCTTCAAAGCCAGCTCTTCCACTTATTAGTTGGGTGGCCTTGGGCAAAGTGACTTAACTTCTCTGACTCTAACAAGAGTTTCTGAATCCAGAGCTAACTCAGCTGCTCCTCTACGGTAGAATCACTGGGATACAGGGCAACTGCTGTCCCCTATGGGGTTTGTGGGATTCATCACGCTGGTTTAAAGGTCTACTTCACAAGTCCTTGGGGAGGGGGAAGGGTAAGCTTGGATGAAGTGAGAGAGTGGCATGGGCTTATATATACTACCAAATGTAAAATAGATAGCTAGTGGGAAGCAGCCGCACAGCACAGGGAGATCAGCTCGGTACTTATGTCCAAGTAGAGGGGTGGGTAGGGAGGGTGGGAGGGAGCCGCAAGAGGGAAGAGATATGGGGATATATGTATATGTATAGCTGATTCACTTTGTTATAAAGCAGAAACTAACACACCATTTTAAAGCAATTATACTCCAATAAAGATGTTTAAAAAAAAAAAAGGTCTACTTCACAAGCCCTGAAAGGTACTTCTTGGAGTTTTTTTCAGGAGCAGACTGGCCCGTCTAAGTGGCCACAAGACACACATCATGGGAATTAGCTGAACAAATAGGACCCTACTTGGCATTTAACCAAATGGATATTAAAAGTCTAATTGAGCAAAAATTCCCTCTCTAGCAGATGGATGTGATACCCTATCAAGACAGGGCATGTCCCCTCTACCTCATCCACACCCCTGGCAATCTCAACGCGAGTCCCCCAGCTTTCACGACCTGTTCTTTTCAGACACACACCAGAAGTGAGCACGAAGGAGACAGAGAAGCATTCCCCAAGGTTGGACAGACAGGCTGATCTGAAGATGCTACAAGATACACTTAGCTGACTGAAGTCTGGCTGGGAAGTTGAGGCTGGATTCCCTATGAACTCACTCCTCACAGGACCAGCTATGCAGCTTGAAACATGTCAGTACTGCGCTCCAGTCACCCTGTCCCGCAATGGCCCAACTTCCCCCCAACCAGCTTTGCCTGCTGCCCAACTTCTAACTCAGCCCACAGGGCCTTTGGGCTGGAAGCTGCCAAAGACAGGTTAGCACTGAACATCAGAGCTCCGGGAAAACGAAGCTTCCCTACAGAGATGGTGCACGCCACTGTATCTGTAGGACTAACTTTCCAAGGCTCCACAGATTTCTTACTTATACAGACTTCTGCGACTATAGCCTCCATGGCCACTTCAGAACTGACTCATGACTCAGGAGGTATTTCGAACCTTGGGAATGAAATTGCTCAAGACAGCATGTTGTAATATGGACAAAGCTGAAAAATAGTGCTGGATGTTTGGAACAGATTATATGTGCTCATTGTTTACCAGGAATTATCATTTAATAAGGTTTAATGAGCACATTTATATCACGTCCTTCTTGCCTAGCATTTATACATGTTCAAAAAAATTGGTAGCTCGTGTAACAACAATCCATGCAGCTCTCCTAGGTAGTAAGTACTAAGGGGTTCAGCGAGCATTTGCTGGCTGTTCATCTCTTGTTTGCTCCTTTGTTGAGAGAAAGCATTCTATCTATTTACAGACAAGGAAACTGACACCGGGAAGTTAGGGAACTTGCCTAAAATCGCCCAGGACACATGGGGTAAAACAGGGATCCAGACAGAAGCAGTTCGACTCTGGAATTTAGGCTCTTCATCTTTATACCCTACTATTGTCCCTGTTAGGTGATGACACTGAGACCCACAGACATTATGTAACATGTCTGAGGTCACATCATTATTTGCTTTTCACATAAAAATCTAAATTACAGCTACATCCCCTTCAAACGGTAAGCTAATTCTAAACCTCGGTCCTAGAGACTTTGATGCAGCCGGAAGAGTTGTCAGACACTGAAACAAGCAGCAACGAAGTGCACAGACTCATAGAGGATTTTCTAGGTATAAAGCCCAATCAGATAGTGGCCAATGACACCTTCTGGTCTCTGATAACCCCTGTGCTACTAGAGCTGCTAAAAATGACACCAAAGGCATGAATCTGTTCAGATGCCAAGAGTTTTATCATAAGACCTGGAAGCTCATGATTAAAGAGGCACTGGAGTCCCCAGAACCAGAAACGCCTTTTTGAAAATTTTCCACATTTGTTCTCGCTTCAGGCCATGATAAAGAGTTTCCAGTCAAACGCACCAGCTAAAATGAACCTGTTTTCTGCAAGAGAAGCGGTCAGTTTGGGTCCAGCACTTATAAAGGTTCCTAGTGCCACAGACTATGAAATAGGCAGAAGTGAAGCGGACTATTTGAAGGGGTTCACAGGGAATCCCAGAGGACCTTAAAACTTCTGAGCAGGAAGGGTCCTAAGATGTCATTGTCCAACCACTCTCCAACTTAACAGGGATGCAGCTGAGCTGAAGGGACTTCTCTGGAGCCACTGAGCAGGTTAAGTGAGTGGCAGGGCCGGTAACTGTAATGAGGGGTTGGACATGCCCAGGTTGCCAACAGCCTCTGTCCAAGGACTCACTCTTTATACCCCAAGCTTAGACTGAAGGCCTAACTTCTGGTACAAACCCTAGGAATCAAATTCTGATTTCAAACATTGTAAAGATGCTTCTTATTTTCCAGACCTCTCAGTGAAAACTTTAGGGACAAATCAAGAAATCTGTGGCTAATGTCATAGACCCTTAGACAAAAATGGCCCTAAAATAATACTCAGTCTCCTTTTCATAGATGACAGAGAGCCAGAGAGAGAGAGAGGGACAGACAGACAGACAAAGAGACAGAGAGAGACAGAAAGAAAGAGAGAGAGAAATAATACTTTACCCCCAATACATACACAGAAAGTTCCTCGGCTTTCTCAAAGCAGAGAATGTCCAACTTGCTTGATTGAAGGGCAGAAAAGGGGGTTAGCAAAAGTTGGAATGCAGTGAGAGGTTGGAAACTGGAATTGGGAAACTCCTCTAGCCTGGAACTCTCCTGTTTCCCGCTGTGAACCGGTCTAGGGGCTTCCCGTTGATGGCCCAAGCACAGAAGGGCGGGCAGGACACTCAGGGCCGCGTCACCGGCGGGACTGCCCGTGCCCGGAAAATAAGCTGGAGACCAAGAATTGAATGCAACTCCGGGTATTCTCCCTCTGGGTCCCCCGGGAGGCCCGCGCTGGGGCGAGAGATCCCAGGGGAGGCTGTGGGAGGGAGATAAAGCAACAGCCCCAAAGCTCCAGTGAATGCACTTGAAATTTCTGCGCGCGCGAGAGAAACTGTTTTCTTTGACACCAAGTTTCCAGCCCACTGGGAAAAGTCTCTTGCGGCGCAGCGCCCAGGAGATCTGGGTCTCCCACTTGGCCGCAAGCCGCTGCCCAGCGACTGGAGACCCGCTGCGAAGCGCTCCCGCCCCCGATCCCCTCCCCCGCTGCTCACCTGCGATGTCCCAGAGCTGCAGGCGAACCACGGTCTCCGGGTCCCAGTGGAGCACCTTGAGCGCGAAGTCCACGCCGATGGTGGCCCGGTAGTGCGAGGAGAAGTTCTGGTGCACGTAGCGCTTGATGATGCTGGTCTTGCCCACGCCCAGGTCGCCGATCACCAACAGCTTGTACAGGTGCTCCTTGTGCGGGACCTGCATCCTGGCGGCCCGCCAGCCGCGCCTTGCTTTGCAGTGCGGGCCGGGGAAGCGCAGCCGGGCCTTGGGCGGGAGAGACCAGCGGAGCGTGAGTGCGGGCGAGAGAGAGCGGAGGCGGCGGGGCGGGACTGGACGGGGCGAGGGGCGGAACTCCTCCGCGGCCGCCTGGAGAAACGCCCAGACAGGAGCCCAGGGGTTAATCCTCCTTCCTACCCCGCGCCGCGCGGCCTTGGAGAGGGGTGGAGACCCGAGCGCCTCCCGGGCCCGATAAGTTAGGGGGCCTCAAGGCAAATGCCTTTTGCAGAGGTTATTCGTACAGCACTTTACAGTTTCCGAAGTGCTTTTCTCGTCTGTGATCTTTCCGAAGTGCTTTACTCGCCTGTGATCTTGGCCACAAAGCTTGGAGGTGTGGTTTTTATTTTCCAAGTTTTGCAAGCGAGAGCGTCAAAAAAATTAAGTGAATTGCCGAGACGGTAGTAAAAAGCCTGGCTGAACACAGGGCTCTTGAGGTCATGGGCCCCGCCACCATCCCATATGGCAGAGAGAGCGTGGAGGCAAGGCAGCAGGTAATACAATTTCAAGAGGCATAAGAGCTGGTTTTGGGTCCGGCACGCCCTGGTTTTCGAGGTGAGTGACCTTGTGCAAGTCATTTCAGCTGCCCCAGCCTCCTTTCTTCCTTGGCGATCTGGTAATGGTAATCCTGACCTGTCAGCAGCCTGCGGGTGTGAACACTGAGCACCTTCACACCTATTCAACTAGTAATCTGTCTAACCAGGAAGATAATTGGGCTGTAAATGCTGAGGGCATCCATGCTTTTAGCCTCCACCTCTCCTATCCTAAAAGCTCTGAGCAGCATTGAAAGACAATTTAAACAACTAGTCAGATTATTTTACGTGGTAATAATACTAGCAAGCATCTATCCAGCACTTGCTATGTGCCAGGTTTTATACATATGTCACCTAATCGACCCAGCAGTCTTAAAAATAGATACCATTGTGGGCTTCCCTGGTGGCGCAGTGGTTGAGAGTCTGCCTGCTAATGCGGGGGACGCGGGTTCGTGCCCCGGTCCGGGAGGTTCCCACGTGCCGCGGAGCGGCTGGGTCTGCGCGCCGTGGCCGCTGAGCCTGCGCGTCTGGAGCCTGTGCTGCGCAACGGGAGAAGCCACAACAGTGAGAGGCGCGCGTACCGGAAAAAAAAAAAAAAATAGATATCATTGTTCTTCCCATTTTACAAATGAGGAAACCAAGGCCTAGACATTTTAAGTAATGTACCTAGGGTCAAACAGCCAGTGAGGAGAAAGCCAGATTCAGACTTAAATCTTTCAGTATGAAAGAGTTTTGTTTTGGTTTTTTTCCCATTTATTCTTTTAACAGATATATATTCGTGCTTGGGATGATAAGGAATAACACAGACAGAGATTCCTAGTCTCAAAAGCTTTACCTTCTTGTGAGTAGAGACAGACAACTGAAAAATAAACACAATTTGTAATATATTAGTTGATTTCTACCCACACAGGGAAACACCAGGCAGGTTATATCTAATAAGTGGACCACGTAGTCTGTCTGCTTAGAGCATTGGCCAACACTGAGGCTTCATGAATGGGAGCAGGTGGGTGGATCAGGAACCTGAGGTGCCTAAGCCATTTTGAGAGCCTGCAAAAAACTAGGGGTGATGGCAAAATAAGACCCCACCAGATCTAAAATTCTGGTTCTGTAGATCTGAAAGACAAGTTTGGTCTGGGCAAGAAGCTAATATTTTTAACAGTAGAATAAAATTAAAAAATAAAGATGAGAGTACAAAACAATGGCATTAAAAGCAAATATAAAAAAGAAAATCATCAAAGCCAAAAGGTGGTTCCTTGTAAAAAATAACAAATTGACAAACACCTAGTACACTGATCAAGAACTAATTTGAGAAAACACAAATTGTCAGTATCAGTTCTTATAGACATAAAAAAATAATGAAAATATATTATGAACAGCTTTCTGTGAATAAATTTGGAAATTTAAGCAACATGGGCAAATTCCTTGAAAAACACAACTAACAAAATTGACCCCGCAAAATGGAAAAACTAGATCATTCATTGTACGTTGATTAGAGATTGGGTCTGTTTTTAAAACTTAATTTAAAACAGTAAAGCTTTCACAAGTTAACAAAAAAAAGAAACAAAGAAAGGAAAGCAAAGAAGCTAATGGTGGTCGAAGCAAGGAGGGGGTGGAAGTTTGAGACATCATGTGAGCCAGCTCTCAACGCTATGCCTGATCCAACTTCTTCACAGGCCCCAGCATGTTCCCCCAGCCAATCCAGCTGAGTCATCCTCGCTCACCTGGTCTCGTCTTCTGATCAGGAGCCTGTTGGAGCATCCGTTTAGATTTACTGTGTGGGGCAGGCAGACCAAAATTCAGATTTTCTGGGACCTGAAGCTTATACACTTGAGGGGAGGGGACTCTTTAAGCAAAAGAATGCAAAATTAAGGACCAGGTCCTAAAGTTTCAGCTTTCCTTCACCGCCTCTCTGGGGACAGTCGCCAAGCATGGTGAGTGAGCTCCCTGGCTAGGCAGGAAGCACTGCAGTTCGTTTCCAGAGTCACTCATTTAGGTCTCATGACCATGCTTCACAGTGGGAAGAAATGACTCTCGGTTTATAATTCTTAAATGTTGTAGACTGAAGCAGCTTGGTGAGTACCCCAGGCTAGCAGTTCAGTAAAATCCTGAAAGACTCTAAGTAAAATGAGGGAGTTGGGTTGCAAGATCTCTGGGGAGTACTTCTGACTTTAAAATTTCAGAATTCTGGGTCTTCTAGACATCTTCCGGCAAGAGTGATATCCCAGCCTTCTAACTACCTCCACCATGGCACCATTACCCGAGAGGTGGAGTTTTCTATCCTGCACTCCATCCCCCCACCAGCCCCACTTAAGGAGATTTGGGAGAAAGGCTGTGGAAGGGCCATTTCAAAGCAAACATTATGCCATAGTTCCTTTCTGGTTTCATGGCTCTCTTCTCTCCTCAGCTGCTGTATATTTTCCCCCCAAGATAAGGGCTCTCCAAGCTCATGTTTTTGGAGGGCAAACCTTTCTGTGCTCCCTTGCTTTGCTTTGAACTTATTTCCTTTACTCAGAACTAGGTTGCAAACAGGAAGGCAGGTAGGTGGGAATAGAATATAAACTAGATTCAGGCTAGAGCTTCTTTAGATGAAAAGGGCATTAGCTAACAGGTAGACCATCCTTGTCTTTCTATCCTCCGTGTACTCCCAGATTATGAGGCTTCATAAGAACCCATTTGTCTCAGCCTGCGACTCCATCTGCCTCAGACTGTCCGCAAGGATGCCCGGCTTTATCCTGACAAGCCGGCCCTCCTTCTCTCCAGAGAGAAAGGACCTGGGTTTGTGCCATGGGGCTACTCCTCCCAGCAGCCGCCCTGCACCATGGAAACCCGCTTTCCGCAGTAACTCTAAAAGCATCTCCGGGGATGTTTTGACAATCTTACTACCCTCAAATTGCTAAACCACAGCACACCCTCTCCTGAAGAACAGGAAGGCAGGTGACCCGAGTCTCTAAAGGGGGAATGAGACCACAAAGGCTCAGAATTCAAGGATGAATGGTACTCCAGACAGCACAGAGTAGGATTTCTCTAAGACTCCGTTTCCTTTTTGTCCAGTGTGGGGACATATACTCACACATATGAAGTGGAAAAACGAATTTAAATCATTGGAAATGGCTTTGCAAACATAAACTTGAAACCCTCATGTTTCCCTCCCAGACCAGCTGTGTAAGGTGAGCCCCTAGGAAGTTACCTTATTTGCTTTCAGCAATGAGAGCCATAAGGAGTTATTCATTAGCTTTTGTAGTTCTTAATTATTGTTCTGAAGAAATACTTAAATGACTGTAAGACAGAGTGCCAAATACTATGTTGTAGGACAGGTAAGGTAATTTTTTTTAGATTAATGCAGTCTTCAAAAAGATGGACTTTACTCTGAAAAGGCCTGTGAGAGGAGACCGTAAATTTTTATCCTCAAAACCAAGATTCTTTAAAGTGAATGGGGGCGCTATTAATAATTACACCGAACCACAGGAACAAGCCAGGGCTGTCCTAAAGAATGTTCATACCTGAAGCAGAGGGTTAGCGTTCTCAAATGAGATCTACAACTAAGAGTGGCATTTGAAAAATCTCCTAAATCACTATTTTAATAAATAGTGCTGCCAAGTTAAGGCTGAGGCTCATTTCTCTCTTATCTTCAAAGAGTTCCCCTTTCATCTAGTAGGCTTGTCTACAACCCGTGCTAACTTGCCAAGGGAGTTACATCCAGTATGGATTCAGAGGTGCAGCTGTTGTCTGGAAGTACACAACACTTTTTAGATTATTTGGAAAGAGGCCAAGATGGATTCTGTACGGGAAGTGCTTGAAATGAGTACGTTCCAGTCTACAAGAATTTTGATGTTGGACTTTTTCACCAGAGAGAAAAGCTGTAATAGGATATTTATTGATTATCATCAGAGAATGGTTGCAAGGGAGTTTCTGAACCCTCCATTAGTCTGAACCAAGAAAACCAGACTGTGCCCTAAATCATTGCCAGCAATAGATTTATCAACAACTAAAATTATGTACCGTAGCTGCACACATTAGATTTGCATTGGACAGACATGGTGAGTTAGGACTCATTTTCCTTCTAACCCACCTAACACGAATGAGTGGAAATGAGCTATGGAATGGGCAAAAGGCAAGCATTTGAGAACATGGAGCAAAATGATTCTGTATGAACTCAGAATTTCAGTTTCCTTGTATTGGGTGCCAAGCCACTTATCTTGGCTAATTTATTCAAACCTCACAATCACTCTGTTAGTATAAATCCCCACTTTATAATAAAGGAAATGGGGCTCAACGAGTTTAAATAATTTGCCCAAAAGTGACAGAATGAAAATTATAACTCCTAATTCCTAAACCTATGCTTTTCCTACTCTAACACATTCCTTTTGCATGTGATAAATCCCAGGCCCAGACTTCTACTCCAGCTTTGTTTCTGCTAAACTGCTAAAAATATTCAGGCTGTAAGGAAAAGGGGTTGACTGTATATTTTACAAAGTCCTAAGTATGTAGGGAAATATCTAATAAAGGAGGAAAAGAAAAATGTATGATTCAAAGTTACAAGGATATATCTCACAGTCATTCAACAACTCAGGGAAAAGGGCAGCACAAGTAAAAAGTGGCATGCTATTCGTTCGTGGGAGTGATCTTACCCAGCCTGTGTAGAGGGTATAAACCTAGGAGTCTACCGCTGTTACTCTCAGAGAAGTCAATCGCTTAATAATACTGAGATTCTCCCGTGAATGAGCCCCTCATTCATAACAAGTGGGGACACAGCGACTGGTACGGTCTCTCGCTCGGAGGATAACTCAGGAAAGTTACTGACACACCATCAGGGTCCAATCAAGAAATATTTTCGGCATAAAGCACTGTGACAGATTTTTCTGAGGGTCAGGGTCAGGAGTGGGGTCTCCTTTATCTACAGGAATACATAAAATATAAGCCCCTGTCATCAAACTGTGGGCATTCTGCTTAGACTGTCAGTCAGCATGTGCACACCTGACCCTCCATCCCTCCATCTCCCTCTCAGATTCCTTCACTGGCTTC